CACTACAACAGGCACAACTTTTGAAAAGCTAATGGGTAAGAGCAACCCTCTACGTGCTAACTCAGCCAGTGCCAAGCAACCTCCATGCCATGAACCATCTCCCTGTAGTACAAGAATATAGAAGTTTAACTTATAACCAATAACCAACAATAACATAAACAAATGCACGAAAATTACAACCACAAGTAATGGTATTCTCAGGAATAGAAATGATCTTTAGAAATTATGTATATCCCAACTCCCAATTACGGAGTAATAAATTGAAATGTTGACAAAAAACACTACCTCACTGGGTGAAAAAAGCTCCAGTACAGATGACAGGACTTCATCAGAAAGTGCATAAGTTAAGCGTGAAGTAACACGGCCAATACCTTTTGCAGCAGACCAGCGCACAACAGTGTCCTGCATAAACAGCAAGATGTCTAAGACAATATGGTGTAAATGAAATTCAAAACTTACACTGAATCATTTGTTTATTTACCCCAGGCACATCAGAGACAACTAAGGTTTAATCAGTTAATAAAATAATCTCTCACCCCTTAAACATACCGTATCTCGCAATCCAGTCAGCAAAACTTCAATAATCTCTTCTACCATCTCTGGAACATCCATATCTTCCTCTTGATATAATTCCAAAGGATCTGTGGTTGCAGCACCATTGTTTTTGTGCATTCTGGCCAAGTCTTGGGATATATGGTCTCCCAGTGTTTGCTTTCTACCCTAGATGATGAAGAAAATGAAAACTTAACTAGGAAATTCATGGAAACTTTATCAAGAATGTAGCTTTTCATGAAGAATCTTTAAAGACAAAAGAATTGCAAGAAAATGAAAACAGACAGAGAATAAAGAGTTGAGATGAAAATAAGCAACACTTCATACACAGAGTTGTACATTTCCAGCAGTTTATACTTTATTATTGATAACTGAATACACTAATTTTTTGAAGATTTTTCAAGAAAAAAAAAATGCTGTCATAAAAAAACAACAAAGGAATAAGAACATCTAGATAATTCAACTAACCACATAGCGCCATGATTGAGAACGGTGAGGCAAACAAGTAAGCCCTATCCGTTGAGCTAGCTTCATAAGATATTTGCGAAGTAATGGGCTTCGTACTGCACCATTAGACTTCACCAGACTTGTTGCCTCTTTCCAAACAGTGGGAACCACATTAAGCAACAGTTTTGCACTCCCAGTCTACATTTTAATAGAAGCAGTGAGTTTAGGGGATTTGTATTTAAAGTAAGGATGCTAAGTAAAAAAAATTTAAAAGTGGTAAGCAGTCTAAATACGTGGAACTCCATGAGAAGGTCAAGATAGGGATAATATATAATTTTTGGCTCCAGGTTCTGTCATATACTTTTAAACAAATACAATAGTGCAGAAGGATATTATCTTGAGAAAGAATCCAAAATGATGGAAACATATGTTAAACACCTAATAATTAATGCCATTTTATACTAAAATAATCTAGTTTGCTTCCTTAAGATGACTAGATGATTTTTATAAGCAATAAATCATATAGGTTAGAAAGCAATAACCAATAGTCAAATGGAAAGTTAAAATGCTTCAAATTATTAAGAAACAGAAGCAGTGAATATACAAGAGAGGCTACCACTTTATGCAAATGATGAGACAGTAACAAAGTTTAATCCTAAATATATATTCCTCATGGAAGCATCCCTAGCATGTATTAAAATTAGATAGAAATATTTATTTGCTTTCAAATTTTCTATGAAACTCGGAAATAAAAAAATGATAAAGTAATGAACCTTGAAAGTGGTAGACAATGCTTCCACTGTACCCAACAACCGGAAGTGATCAGTAACATTATTTGAAGCAGATGAAATGACTTCATGCGTCCAATCAATAAAGCTGAAGAAAAAGAAAACTGGAAATAAATATTGAAGTCAAATAATAGTTTAGAATAATGAACATAAACAAAGCAAAATTTGATGAGTTCAACAGAAATTGCACGTGATACACTATTAGTTTTCTCATTATTCGGCCACATACCTAAAAAAACTAGTACAATAACTTTTCCCAAACTTGTCAAGCATTAATAAGGTTCAGTGAAAGATAAGCTTGGAAGAAGAAAATGAAATGATTATGATCCATCATCCATCCATTATCTACATGGATGAGGAGCAAAATTAAGACCAAGGCACCAGCATGCTCACATGCAGACAAAGGAACTCATGAATTCGATAGTAACTTAGTAAGACCACTTAAACTTATTTTCAAATGACATCTCATACCTCCATAAGAGTACAAGACATGAAGTATCCCCTCCCCTCTACTTTAGCTAGCCAATGCAAGCAACCCGATCCCGATAAGCTCAATTCAAGGCTCAACTGGGAAAGGTCATATTGAGTCTGAGTAACTAGGTACAACATACCTACAATTTCTATTGCCTCTAAGTCTCTAACCAGTATTTCATCACATTTGACTTCAAAAAACTCTAGCAATTCATAATGAAATGATATCAAGTAGCAGAAAAGTATTACAAAGATAACCTGTTAAAAGCCTTCAACATATCTGGGCGTGTTAGAAGTTTTGAAAGCAACAATCCAGCTATAGTACGCATAGGACCAGCATCTGAAAGGTAGTCCTTAGAGCATTCTATAATCCTTAGTGCCAATGGAGGAGGTTCATCTCCACTCATACATCGACTATCAGTAACACTAGTATCCACAGAGGATATATCAAAAGGAATCAATACTAGTATGGAAAGCCATAATAGTATCACACACTTCGCCTCCATCTCTCCTGTACTTTCTTGCCTCAATGATGTTACTGATTGTGCATTGTGGCACTTCTCCAACAAAGAGACTGCAAGCTCTAGATCAGAAACCTGATGCGGAAAGAATTTGATAACAGCCTTATATCCACAAACTGTTACCAAACAATAAATGATTATGCATAAAGGTTTAATAACTTCGAGAATTTCATCTGAGGTTGCCCCTAGCTCAGCAGTTTTGGAACGAATAATGGACATCAGAGGAGAAACTATGCTCTCCAAATATGGCTCTACTAATTGACCCTGTTCCTGATACTTGTCCATCTGCAATATCATATTCAGTATGTTAGGCTACATTTTCTGCTCAAATCAGGAAAATAGAGATAAAACAGCGAGATATTAACTTCCTCAACTAACAAAAGAGCATATCCTATAAAGTAATTAAAATTAATGTCTCGAATAGCTTCACTTCTAGTATACATAAAGTGAACTGCACAATACGCAGAATTTGTACAAAAATTGCATCTAAATTTACAAATATCATTAAATTTCGCAAATTAGTGCACTACATAAACAGAGAGGTGAATGTGAAGTGATTGCGTACAATGGATCGGATCTTGTGGACGGAGGAGAGATCGGAAACCCGGCCGTGCGAAACGATGTCGTCGAGGAGGGACTTCACGAGCTTCCATTCCTGGAGGAAGTATCTCTGAAGAACTCTCTCTTTGGAATCGTGTTCGTCGTCTTCGTCTACGTCTTCAGGTGATGCTGAACTGTTCGTCGCCATTCTCGATTCCTCCTCGGCCTCCATTTTCATGCTCCGAGCAACTTCTTCTTTAGCCGCCATCGAAGTGACTGCGTCGATTACTGGCAATTGATTTATTCAAATTTCCCGCTTGAGATTTGTACTGGACTTCAACTGCTCTGAAGTCTGAACTTCTTTTTTCGCTTCAAGCTCAGTGTTCATAACTCGGTGCTCACCCAAAATGAAAATATATAAATAAATATCAATTTGGTCCCTATAGTTTTATTGCTCAATCAATTTTACCTTATCAAATGTTCTTCGTTCTTTTCTATAATAATTTCATCGATTTTGCCTAACACAGCAGCACACTTTGCTAGTGAGTAATGGGCCTAATGGGCTACATAGATCCAACAACAACAATAGGTGCAAATATTGGTAGCCTAAACTAGAATGCAACAAATTTGGCAAATTATTGTGTGGACCATGAATATCAAGTACATTTTTAATATATTAAAAGTACATTATTTTTGTACTGAAGTTACATTATATAATATAATGTACTCTTAATATATTAAAAATGTACTTTCAAAAAATATACCTTACGTACATAAATAATGTACCCTTAATATATTAAAAATGTACTTTTTATTTATGATCCATGCAATAATGATTGAACAAATTTAATTGTGGCTCATATTCTAGTTGAGTCCAATTTTAATGTGGACTGTAGTCTATGCAGCAGCGTGAACCATGTAGAAAAATGACGTGTTTAAAGTTTTTTTCGTTAACAATGGTCAATGGTAGAAGGTAAATTTCATTATGGTCCATGTAGCAACCTCTTTCATTATTCAGTTTCATTACAATATCACTAAAGTATCATTCTAATTCAATTTTGTGAGACCTGTTATTCAATTTATTTTATACACAATGTAGTTTCATTATAGCACCACTAAAGTATCATTATTATTCAACTACTGTTTTATTTGACAATATACACTCAATATGTGAGACTTGTTATTCAGTTTCATTTTATACGCATTGTAGTTTCATTACAGCACCACTTAAGTATCATTTGACAATATACACTTAATATGTAAGACTTGTTCAATTCCAAACTTGAACACATACCTAGTAAGTACTAATAAAAGTTATTTTAGAAAAAGTTTACAAATAAGCCAATATATCACTTTCCCAATACCACTTAGCTTGGAGGAAACCAGACGAGGGAGAGGTTCTTTTTTTAATTTTTTGTATGTAATTATGCATGGAAATCATGAAAATAAATTAAATAAAATCATATAAATCTAAATCGAATAACACTAACTGTGTCGATAAAGAACACGTACTAACTGAATATATATACACATTAAAAACAATGATACAAATGAAAAATGTGTATCCATATGAAAAGGATAGATTATCCCATGTGAAAATAATGAGCAGATTATGTCTGCAAAAAATCAGAGGCAAGTTGGAACCCAATCCTATCCTATCTATTTATATACCCATTATCTCCTCGTCGAGTTGCAAGACAAGCTTTGTGAGTCTCCTGCTTCTTCTCAGTCCTTCGTGTTCACTAGTGGTATGTCACGTCATTATTTAATTATTATTGATTTCAATATCATCTTTATAAGAAGGTTTAATTTAGAAATGCTATGTTTGGTTGAGTGTATAACATATATAAGCATAAATGAGAATTTCAACTATTAATTTAACTTTCTAAGTGTGACAAAATACATCACTCAATTTGCTTGGTAAAAGATTCATCTCCTCCATTCTTACATAATGGAAAGTTTCAACTTTTCTCATGTTATTTTTGTGGAGTATTTTTTGTACTTGTAATCTAACCGTAATTATGTCTCTATTAATAATTTTAATTATTGTCTTCTAAGATCTCTTGTGACAAAAAGGTGAGGTGTCCCCACAGTTTGTGGATGGGTTAATCACCATGATTCAACTGACCAACATAGACTAACGACAATTATGTCTCTATCTAATATTGCAATTATTGTCTTCTAAGATCTCTTGTGACAAAAATGTGAGGCGCCCTCACAATTTGTGAATTGGTTATGTCTCTATATGATATTTTAATTATTGTCTTCTAAGATCTCTTGTGACAAAAAGGTGAGGCGCCCCCACACTTTGTGGATGGGTTAATCATAGTGACTCAACTTATTAATATAGGCTATACTTTTACTCACTCCACACAAGGAACTGAGCTCCTCATTTTGAGAGGTTGTTGTTCCCACATTGTTACTGGTGAAAGTCAATATTTGATCTCTTGTGACAAATTTTACCTTTGCGACTAGTTGAACTGCCCATGCGAGCTTCTTCTAAGATCTCTACTTTAACATATTGTTGGCATTTTTTCAGTCTTTTTGGCTAATATTTCAATAACAAAAAACTCAATTCAAAACATTTTACTATTCTTTAGGATATAAACTCTCATCCTAATGTAATAAACAAAGTCAAAAGGTTTTTACTACCTCATTCTTCTTAACTTTACTCCTATGACCAACTGAACTGTCATGCAGGGAGTTTTTACTACTTCATTTATGACCATTTGGAGGCTTGAATTGGAGTGACAACTTTGTCCTTAAAGATCGAACATGTAAACTAATTGACTTCGTTAACTTTGTTAATTACTAGAATATTAGTTAGAAAATCAAAAGTAAAAAAACAAATGTGAAATTGTTCTTGTCTGATATAAATATATTATAAAAAAATCTATGATACTGATTGACACATTTGCATTTGATACAATCCAAAATACTTGCCTAGTTATACAAGTGCAAATCAACGCTTTAAAAAATTTTGTAAGTCATATGTGTAATATGATTTAAATTTTATATACTTTCAAGCCGACTTTGTTTTTGGGTGATTGTCGTTTCACTTTCATAATTATATTAGATCTAAAGGTATTGGCTTTGTTGTAGGATTTGCAAATATGAATAATATCAGAAGAATGGGTATGCATTATTTGCACAAATTGAATTGTGAACATATACCCAAAGACGTAAGAGACAAGGCGCAAAAACGTATTATTGACGCATCTCTTTCACTTATTCGGGAGAGAGCTAAGCTAAAGGCATGTCTTATATACATCTAGTCTTGATTTGCTAACCTTGAAGCTAGCTTGAGTTTTGCCTCTTAATCCTGATTATTTTGATTGTTTAATTTGAAACATAATCCATATTATTAGCAATTATTAACATGGAAAACCAATTCTTGGCATTATTGTTCCTTCCATGTGGTCCATGCGGTCCATGCATGAAATACTGACCACCAATAAGACACTGTTCTATAAGATAAACGTGCACATATTAACAAAAATATGGGTATATTTGTAGATATTTTTTAAAAATACAAAAAAAAATTATTTTGTATAAATTTAAAATTTAAAAAGAATACACTAATAAATACTAAAAATTCATTTAAAAAAAAAACACACACACACACACACACACACACACACACACACACACACACACACACACACACACACACACACACACACACACACACATATATATATATATATATATATATATAGAACATGAGAACCCGTGTAGCGTGTGCCATTATTGTGCATTGTTAATCTTGTTTGATCTTGTGGTTTATAATGATTTTGACATGGTAAATATACGTCACTACGTCAATGCACCACATCACTACACCGGTGCATAACTACACTAAATGCACCATTGCTAATGATTTTGACATAGTAAATATACGTCACTACACCAATGCACCACATCACTGCACCGGTGCACAACTGCACAGAATGCCCCATTGCACCACTCCTCAGATCTGGGTTGTCCAATCTCACATTTCAACAGTGCATAGGAGTTCATAGGTTCACACTCAAGCAGTGATTTTTACCGAACCAAATCCTATATATATATATATATATATATATATATATATATATATATATATATATATATATATATATATATATATATATGAGAATAAGAAATAAGAAGATATATAGTAAATAATGGGAGGTTTGCTTTTGTCTAAAATATTTTAGTTGGCATTTCAGGGAGAGCTTCTTCGTTCTCTAGGGGGTGTCGTGGCATCATCATGTCTTCTTGGAGTTCCTCTGGGGCATAACTCCTCATTTCTCCAGGGCCCAGCATTTGCCCCTCCTTACATTCGAGAGGCCATGTGGTGTGGCAGCACAAACTCTACAACTGAAGAAGGTGATGCATATAATGCAATTAGTTATTTATACATTTATTACCAATTGGGTTCTATTATATATCACTAAAAAAAAACATTAATAGATGTGTCACATGAAATTATGTTAAGACGGTGTCTAACATCGATTATAACTGATGCTAGGTATTAGACACTATACCGTGACTGTTTTAGTTTGAAATATTTGAACTTTTTTTAACTTGTTTTATAATGAGTTGCTGGAATGGTGCAGGCAAAGACATAAAAGACCCACGCGTCTTGACTGATATTGGTGATGTCCCAATACAAGATTTACGTGATTGTGGCGTAGATGATGATGGATTATTTAATATCATCGGTGAATCTGTGAAGACGGTGATGAATGAGGTAAGAATATATGTCATTTTCTACGTGTCTGAATTGAAAAAAAAAAAAAAATTAAAATAGTAATATTGTTAACCAAAGTACAAGAATAAGTGTATTACTCCAATTATTAGCTTAACATTTTAGTTGAGACAGAACGCATCCTTCAATTTGATATCACATATGGGCTTAATGCAGGGTGTAATGCGGCCCTTGGTGTTGGGGGGTGATCACTCCATATCATATCCTGTGGTGAAAGCTGTGTCGGAGAAGCTTGGAGGACAAGTGGATATCCTTCACCTTGATGCTCACCCTGACCTCTACGATGAGTTTGAAGGAAACAAGTACTCTCACGCATCTAGCTTTGCTCGAATCATGGAAGGTGGCTATGCCAGGCGACTCCTGCAAGTAATCTCAGCTGCGCTAAAACAACACTCCAATATATATACCACACCACATCATCTATATTACATCTATCCTAAATTCATCATATCCTTGTTGCGCAGGTCGGACTTAGATCAATCAACATAGAAGGCCGCGAACAAGGACAAAAGTTCGGTGTGGAGCAATTTGAAATGCGAACATTTTCCAAAGACCGCGAATTTCTAGAAAATCTGGTTCATCTTCTCATTCCTATTAAGATAAAACGCTGACCACTAAGTAGCGGTTAACTGATTGTGTTAATGAGTTTGACTAGTTAATAACATTAGCTTATTGCAGAAAGATGTTTGGTAAATTAGTTATTAGCTGATAACTGTTATGTTTTCTGATGTGAGCAGAAACTCGGGGAGGGGGTGAAGGGAGTGTACATTTCGGTGGATGTGGACGTTCTGGATCCTGCATTTGCTAGCGGAGTGTCACACTTAGAGCCGGGAGGTCTCTCTTTCCGGGACGTCCTCAACATAATCCACAACCTTAAAGGCAACCTCGTGGCAGCCGATGTGGTTGAGTACAACTCGCAGCGGGATACTGTTCATGGGATGACTGCAATGGTGGCTGCAAAACTAGCAAGAGAGCTGGCTGCTAAGATGTCCAAGTAACCCACTGAAAGGCGTTCACCAGCAAGTAGTAGTGAATAAGGATGGTCCTATGAGTCTGAGGTAGGAATTATCTGAGTTTGGTGAATAAGGGCTGTTGTATGCTGTGATGAATAAAGGTTCTTTGTTCTTTAATCCCACAAGGAATATCAAATTTCTTTTAAGTTAAAGAAACTATAGTAAGGAAGGCAAAGAACACTTGAAGTAAATAAACCCACTATTCTAACAAAACTTAAGACTACCTATCTAATAGTTTGTTAATATTGTAGACTTTACAGAATCAATTAGTAAAGTTTCTAAAATTACTTAAAAAGAAGAGAGTCAACAACGGTAACACAATCACGATAGGCGGCCACATAGGCGCCCCTAGGCCGAGACGAATTAACCCCTAGACGGCCAGCTGCCTAGACACCCAACTTGGCCGACTCGGCCAAGTTGGCGACGAACTTGACCGAATTCGGCCGAGTTAACTCGTCCAATTCGGTCGAGTTAGCTGAGTTAACACAGCCGAGTCTGCCTTGCTAATTTTTTATATATGACATACACCCACATAAGTGCACTGTTTGCTTTTTTATATAGTTAGTCGATTAAGCTCTACTCTACCGCTTAACTAGCGCTTAACGCCTACTGCAACCATGAACACAATAGCTCTATGCTACTAAATAATGGAGTATCCACTGTGTAACAACAGTAAGTGCAGAGATTGGTAGCCCAGACCAGGATACAACAAACCTATAGATTATTAATGTCCCTGAAGACTACATAATGATTACATTGAGGAAGGTATAAGATAAAATGTAGGGCTAAATTACCCACATAATGGAAGTTTGAATCCTCAACAAAGCGCATAAACTTAGCTCGGCCACAGCAGCGACAAGGGTTTTCCATCTTGGCACTTTATCATGCACTCCACCGCAATTTCTCTCAGCTTTTTCTCAATGTCTTCCATAGGAAGGGTTGCATCTATTATCTAAATCAGCAAAACAGAAAAGGGATTCATCGTGGAAAAATTGTGTTCAAGTTTGGTTCTTTGCATTAGCCTATGATCTCGCTATTGAATATCAAAGCTCTAGAGTCTAGATGCATCAGAAGTATCTTTACTGCCCCTAAAAGTAAAGACTGGGCGATACTTAAAAAAATAATGTCACTTACCTTCCATGATGAATCCTGAAGGGCCTGGTAAGAGAGGGCAACCTTTTTCTGAAACTCCAACTGCTCATACCTCTCGCCACCGTAACCTCCTCTTTCAGCAGCTCTCTGGCATATTTCAAGAATGAATTCTCTATAAACCACAGGAAATATAAAAGGCACACCATTGCACCATCCATATCAGAAAGAAAACAAATCTGACAAATTAGCTTGAGTTCTCTCTAGAAATTAGAGAACCCGCAAAAGCAATCACAAATAGTGAAGCCATCGCATCCAGGTGGGCTGTTAACTGCCAATTTCTTGCCCCAAATACTTCCCAAAGGGGCTAGATAGTGCATAACAAATGCAAAACTATACTGAAAATATCATCACTCCCAAAATGACCAAGCATACTGTTGAAAAATAAAGAGTTAGGTTTATCTATAGGGTTGTGTTTGTTTTTGAATAGGTGTAAGTTTATGGATAGGTACTTACAGTTATGTGTCTATGTACTATGTTTCTTTATTAGATACAAAGAGATGATATAGAATCATACATTTTCTATATCTTTCAGTCTTATATATATTTTCCATTCCTTTATTCATCTTTGCTTCTGCCTAACTGACGGGTGGTTGTTATTCTCCACCCACCAGGCCATTCCATCTTCCAAATTCAACACATACGCATAGATACGATTTAAATACAATAACTAAACCAAACAGGCAATAAAACCATATTGGTGCCACCGGTTCAAATTTGACACTAAAATGAAATGTTTTACTATTCCTCCAATGTCACATGCGTTTAAACTGAAAAATTGATTACCTCAGGTGAAATGTCAAGATACAATACCAGATCTGGAGCAAGCAATCCTATATCAGGAGCCTGCATCAAAACACTTCATGACATCACAACCTAAGAAACCTTGAATTTCAATATCGACACTGAAGAATGTATTTACCTTGCACCATTGAATATCAAGTCCCTTGGCAGAGGAAAATGCTACCCCAGAATAAGAATAACGGTCTACAATAATAGTGGTTCCACCCTTCAGAGTTTCTTCCATTAATGACCTGCAATTATATTTTCAGTCAATAGTGGATCAACCATGCTGGGCAAATCCAAACTTTAACATACAATAGTAAATATCAACGTCATTTAAGTGAAAATTTCAAATTGTGTACGACCAAAAAGATATTCTATGACTAAACTCTAAACCTGGAAATCATTCATTGTAAGAGCAACCATTACTTGGCAAATAAAAGGCAATTACTTTTGTCGCATGACAGAGAATACCTCTTCTCCCAGCGGTTGGCACTGAAAAGGAGATGGATAGCATGATCATCCAAATGCGATTTGTTGGCAAGATAAGAAGATATCATTTGCCCAATTCCGGTATTTCTATCGGGAAATCTCCATGATTGAATGGAGTGGCCAAGGTTATCCAAGTACTTAACTAATCTACTAGACTGTGATGTCTTCCCACAACGATCTAGCCCTTCAAAGACAATCAAAGCACCCCTTGAAATTCTGCTGCTTCTACTACTTTCCATGTGAACTTGTCTGATTGAGTTCTTCACAGTAAACTTCAAATTCAAGCCAAAGTTTAAAAGCCGACGCACTCCTACTCTCTCAAATTCCCTGAAAATTAAACATTTAACTTCATCATCAACTGTGACTCTCAAGTCTCAATGGCATTTTCTCATACATCATAAAAGCATTTACCATACTATAAAAAATAAATTTTTTTTTTAAATGGTAATTTTTCATAAATAACAAAAAATTCGGAAAATATTACAGATGAAATCATAATCTCGAAACAGAACAACACAAATTACAAAGTATGCAATTTACAATTTGCTAATTTCTCAAAGAAAGAGGTAAGAAAAGCTTACAAAGCCTTTGTAAGAGTAAAACTGCTAGCTTGGAGCATGGCCTCATAAAACACTAGAATCTAAAATCACAAAAAAAAAAAAAAATCTTCATTTTTCACAGATCAGAAAAATTAGAACTAAACACTAAACCAAAGATGAAGGAAAAGGGTATAGATGAACCTGCTTAGAAATCCCTCCCAATTTTCCAGTTACCAAAAGGGAAAAGCGCGCTTTGATATGAAGATTAAGATCTCTGATCCAACTTTTATACTTCTTTAGGTCGTCTTATCTTGGCTAGGGCTGCAAACGAGCCAACCCGAGCTCGAGCTCGGGTTGTTCATTCTCATCTTATCAGTTCAGTTTCATATAAAAGCTCAAGCAAAGAGATCATAGCAATAAACACCCCTTGTTATTGTCATTTATCTTGGACCTCTCGGTTCATGCCAGCACATCACATGCATTTTTTATTAACTGGATTATTGAATAAAGTCACAAACTTGGCTCTCTTGTTAGCAATTACGATGATCAAAGTAATGAAACTAGGCTAGCAATAATGATCTGGACTTACAACATAATGCAATCACTTGAATTATTGATAGTTCTGGGAGCAAGGTCTATTAGTAGGAATCTTGTGAAGGCCATAAAGCTGCATTTTCAAATCATTACACAGATTGCATTAAAATCAAGAGGTAAAGTAATTACATTAAAATTTAAAATCCATCACTGGGTTGTAAAATATGGATATCACTGTAAAGAACTAAGGGTTCAATTTCATAACATTTCAACTGTTATTATGATTCAAGTCATAACATTCAAGTCAACAAATGCCTATAAATTAAAATTTAGACAGCATACACTATGCAACTGGATTGAAACTTTGAAACTAACAACAAATGCCTATAAATTACCATTCAAACACTGAGAACATCATCGTACAACAACAATTTAAACCTGGGGAAACAAGACTTGTGAAGATTACCTTTGAAATGTGGCTTTAGTGAACCAGGAGGCTGCAGAGCTATTGAATACCCAGAATCCAACTTCTAAGGTTACGTTACGAGTATGCTCGAATTCGACTCGAGCGAGCGAATTTACTAATTTGCACGATTGCACCCTTAATTTTTTGCGCAAGTTTTGAACTTTTTCGCACTGATGCGTGTGGCACCCTTTATTGTATTGTTAATGGGCTTCCCAAAACTGTGACCATTTTACCACAGAGCCCAGTTAAAACATTGGTTTGTTTTCTTGATCCATTTGGAATTGGGTTATGTTTTTATATTTTTATAAGTTTCAACCGCAAATTATGCTGTGCAACCGTGTGCATCATGTATGGTGTAAACGGTTGCAAAAATGACGTCGTTTTGATTACAAACGCGAATCACTTTAAAAAAAAAAAATCAAGTTTGATTCCCGGCAATAGCATTTTTTTGTGTGTAATTTGAATTATGTATCCACAAACTCATAATTATATATCCACAAATTCATAACTATATATCCACAGTGAATGAATAACACAAAATTCAGAATGAATGAACTAAATATCCACAATGAATGAACTAAATATCCGTAAATTCATAACTATATATCCACAATAATGCTGTTGAGGAAAATCGAAACTGGTTTTTTTTTAAAAAAAAAAAAAAAAAAAGGGACGCACGTTTTTAATCAAAACGACGTCGTTTTGCAACCGTGTGCACACAGTTGCACAGCATAACTATTGAGTTTGAACAGTATATTTAAGGGTTCCCTACTATATTTATGTTCCGTAGACTAATATATAAGATAAATTGCTTGATCTACCTTTAGGGGGGTGTATTCAATCATGACTTTTGTAAAGTTTTAAAGACTTTTTAAATGATAGATTTTAATAAACTTTGATTGACTTTCATAAAGTCGTTCAAAACTTTTTAAAACTTTATAAGACTTATAAAAGTCGATATAAAAGACATTTATAGACTTTTATCAACTTTTTATTTTAAAAAGTCTACAAAAGTCATTGAAATTCTAAATTAAATACATCATTACAAACTTTCAATGATTTTGATTCTTATCATTTACAGTTTTCTTACAAAACATTTATAATATATCATAAAATTCTTCTTATTATATAGTTCTTCACCCACATCAACATTCTCAACATTATTATTTTTATTCATAGTATGTTGAAACTTATATGCTAATTACTTATATATATTATTACTCCGTAATAAACATCAAGTCATCAACAAAAAAAAAAAAATTATTTCATTAGAAATTCATAACAATATTAAACAATAAAAATTATAATAAAAGACTTGATCAAATAAAATATTTAAAAATATAATTACAAGTTGCATAAAATAAAAAAAATAAAAATCTAATATTGATAATATATATAATAAAATTATACTTGCTATAAGCTAGGCATCACGCAAAGAACTATTATTTGCAATAGTAATTTGAGACTATCAACAACGACAAGGTGCTACTGTTTGCAACACCAAATTGTTGTTGTGAACAGTAATTCGTTATTCGTAGTAACCTGTTGTTAAAAAAAAAAAAGAAAAATATATATTACGAATATAAACATAAAAAGAATAAAAATAAAAATATATAAGTATTTATAAAATTTGATGATAAAAAATTTGCTTTGTTAATGTATTTAGGGAGAATTAGAGAAAGTTAGGGATAAAAAAATCATAGAAAAAAAAATAAAAATCAATATAAACAAGCAATAATGAAGTAAAAATAATATTATTTTGAATTTTTAGATGAAGATTCTAAAGTTTAGAAGAGAGAGAAAATGGGTAGAGTTGGTATGAGGAAAATATAGGATAATGAAGAAAAAAATAATTTTATTGAATTTAGATAGGTTTATAGAGTTTAAATAGGGAGAAAAAAAATAGAGTTTAAATAGAGAGAGAAAACATTCAAAGTCGTTAGAAGAAAATTTGAAATCTTGGGGTTGATGATTGGATTTAACTATTTATATTTGAGAAGGAAAAGTATACAAAAGTCTTAAAATTAAAAAGTGTACAAAAATTCATAACTTTTTGAATATCACATGACTTTTAAAGACTCTTTAAAAATCTTGATTGAATACCGCATGACTTTTAAAGACTCTCTAAAAGTTTAAATTTAATACCTCCAAACTTTTAAAGTTCATAAAAGTCTTTAAAACTCTGTGAAAGTCATGATTGAATACACCCCCTAGTAACTTACAATTCTTTCAAATACTGGTACCCTAGTGCGCCTTATAAAGTCTGGATGAAATATTTTATTTTTAAACATTTTTATAAATCTTCTCCCAAAGATTTATAAAAAAATTTAAAAAGAAAATATTGATGATATGCATAGCATTCTGTAACCTTTAAGTATCACGTGGCCCTAGTGATTGCATGGCAATGCTGCAGTTGACTTCCAAGTTCCAATAACCAAGCAACCCAATATCATTAATGTTCATTTCTAAAATGTAAATTAAAAACTATTCCGTATCTAAAAACATAATAAGTCTTATTCGATCTATATGAACAGCTCAATTAATCACAGAAATAAAATTTCAGAATAATAACCCTGTCGGGAGTTGAATTTTACCGGCGACAGTGTGGGATCAACCTCATCCAGTTGAGTTACCATAATTGATGATCATTTTACTTTAATTGTTGTACACTTCCATATATTAATAAATGTTTGATTATTCCATATATTAAATTAAATTAAACAAATTCAAAACTTGATATTCACATATTTCCATATACTTGAACGTTACATATGTTTGTTAAGCATACATAACATAAAAAAAGCCAAATGAAATTGAACACAAGTAAATATATAATTGAAATCTAATCAATTAGGGTTTGTTCTTGGAGAAGGAGGCTCTTTGTGCAGCAGCGAAGTGGTTGAACATGGCGAGGGCGACACTGGTGGCCTGAGCAACGTTAAGAACCTTCGCCTGAATAACCCTCCTAACCCTACCGCCCATTCTGTACCCTGAGATCCCATCCATACAAGCGAAGGCGTTGGTCTCCATTGTGCTCAGCCATGTCTGGACGTTGCTCTGATGCCAAACGAAAGCGTTTTCGCCGTCCAAGTTTAGCTGGTGGAGCTCCTTCACCGCCCTGGCGAGCTGCGACGCGCCGTCGTCGATTTGGCTGATGCAGTCGTGCACGGCCTGGTAGTCGGTGGACTTGAGACCTCGGCTGATTTTGGCCATGTACGCGCTCGCGTAGCGTGCCCTAACCAGGCTCACCTTTAACGCCACCTGCGCTAGCTCCTGCGGCGATTGGGACGTGGAGTTCACGTGGCCGGCGAGGCACGAAACGCACAGTTTCGGGTACAGTGTGCGGCGGCACTGAGATTCGACGTATGTTCTGCCGCGAGAGTATTGCGATCTCTGAAGCGGCCGTGCGGCGGCGCCGGCGACGGCGACGACGGAAAGGAGGAGGAGGAGGAAGGAAGAGAAGCTAAGTTTTGCCATTGTATGGAGAGTGCGAAGTGTTTGCGATCGGATCGGAAGCCGAAACCTTTAATTTGTTGAACGTTTGTTGATTGTGATGGGAAAATGTGAAGGGGTTAGAGTTTATATAGAAGGGTTGTCATGTACTCATGTGCATGAGATTTTGACTTCGTTCTATTTTATTTCAGAAGAATTCGATCTCATGAAAGAGACGTTATCATTTTTTTAAAATCATAAAATCAAAGCTAAGTGATCAAGTAGTAATAATAAATATATTTATTATACAAATTGTAATTGTAATTACAAATTTATACTCCTCCTTCCAAAAGGTTGAATCCCCAACTCAAGTGCCTCATACCCCGGGCGGATGTAAATCACGGTGACTCAATGGATCAGCAGACAGGGCCAATGACGGGATCTACCCACTCTGATAATTGATAATTGGATTGCACACGCACGCGCGCAATACGTAGTCGCTTATGGGTGATGCTGAGATTCGAACCCCATGTGCTCCATCTCAACTAAAAGTCTGAGCTGATAGTTGAATTTGCACATTAATAGCTATATATGTTCAACAGGTATGATTATCTTATTATAAGGTCGTCATCACGAATTCAATTTTTTACTCACACATTCGCTGTCAAGCATTCCTAGCTAGCTAGAGTGATTTATATATTTTGTATAGGTTACATGCTTAAGCTATTACATAATAACAGAATTTATCTAGTACAGGCCCTCGATGACATAATTAATAAAATGTGGAATTTCTTCATAAAAAAAATAATGATAAATACACACCAAATGCTACACGTGCAGGTAGCTTCGAGGAACCAGGTTGTCACTAGTGAGGTTGGGATTCTGGCAAACAAGAACCTTAATTATAGTTATATTAAATTAGGTCATAAGTTATCTTCATATATTCAAATTTGTTTTAATACTAAAACTTCGATTTGGAGGTAAAGATGCAAAGCTCATCAAGTAATTGATTCAAACAAATCTACGCCTCCTTCCTTGACTTTTGAATTAATCACTTCAATTTATTCTTTAATTCCCATATTTACATAAATACAAACAATTAAAGTGTTAAGTTAACTAGCTAAATATTGAGCTATCTGAAATTGATCTCACGTACAAGGGATTAATGGTGGTGCGTGGATTGTATTAGTCCTATGAGGGAGTTTGACAGTGGTATAATTGCTTTTGCATGAAGTTGGTCCTGCTTGGTAACATAGTTAACTTATCAATTAATTTTGGCTTATTTGACCACTATTAGCTGTTTGATTTAGTTAAACAATTAATATGAGTGTTTGATTAATATATATATATATTTTTTTTTTGTAACAACTTATTGTTCTAAAATGTTAAAATTCAAAAAACTGTTCAAAGCAACTTTTTCGATCATCTTTTTAAAAAAGTCATTTTGCATGTAATCAACTATCAACTAGCATCTAATTTACCAAATATTTTTCTACAATCAACTAATGAGCCAAACCACTAATCCAATCAGCTAACAACTATCTACCAAACACCTCTGTTATATTTATCAAGTGGGCCATGCACTTGTTATAGCGGTTGGGCCAGTGTATCCATGGGTTGTAGTTTGTGAACCTCACTTCTTTCATTTGTAATTTGCTTATATATATGAATCATCTACAAGCATAATCCGTCTCATCATATAGTAAAACTTGTCTCACGATAATAAAAATAACAGATTTCATATTTAAAACGACATTAAGGAGTTAGCTATAGATTTTTTTAATCTCAACTTTGCGTTTGTTAAATGATTTGCGAATAGAGTAGCTCACGTTTTAGTTAGAAATGCCCTTTCTATGTCATATTGTATGGACTGTTTCACAGTCCCTTTTCCGTTTATCGCTCATGTACTAGACTCTGATCGTTCTTAATATATTTCTCGTTTTTGTTTTCTAAAAAAAAATGTAAACATATTGTCTTGTTTGGTGTTACAAATCATATCTTGCCAATACAAGCTAAGCAAGATTACTCGTGGGAAAATAAAACTTCCAAAAGCTAAGCACATGTCATTAAATAGTCATTTTTATAAATAACAATTTAATATAATGGATTTATATATGGAGTTTAAACAAATTAAAGTAGTTAAGTAGTGATTAGGTTGTCTGATGAGTAATGCCAACGATATGATTTGACCAGCTGCTGCTTAGCAGGCACCTGCGACAAGTTGTCTCTCCATCGGTCGAGGATCAAATCGAGATTGCTTGCCTCTACATTCTCATCATGAAAAAATAATTTAAAGTATTAAGGGTGTGTTTGGTTGATGGGTTTTGCCCATGGGAATGAGTATGAAAGTGATTATTATTATTTGGTTGATAAGTTTTTAGAACACTATTATGGGTTTCGAATACCTCATCAATTGAAAAACTCATACTCAAATAAAATAAAGGTTTCATTCCCTTGTTTATTCTCAAGCATTATTATTAGTAACCATTCCTATTCCACCCTACTACTAAACATGTTAAACACTTTCACCAAAACTCATTATCATTACCAAGTATTTAATTGATACTCATTCCAATTTCGATTACCATGTACGAACCAAACACACCCTAAAATTTACCAAGTAACTGTACTTGTGGTTTGATGGTATCACTGTTACCCTTTCGTATTATAAATATGTTAAATTGTAATCACCAAAAAAATGTATTAAGATATTAGTACAGAATTACAAATTATAAAATTAGAGTCGTATTTTTATATTTGCATTCACATTCCATAGCATTATTAATATATATAAATAGATCCAAACTTATCACATTGTACTTATAATCACTTTCTTTTTTTTTTTTTTTTTTTGGTTGTATAACTCAAGTTTCTTGATATAGTCGAATTATATATTGGACTGCTTCAAGTCTCACACCAAAGTATAGACCAAACTGTATCATTCTATGCATGCACAATGAGCCTAACCCCAACTTTAGACTCAATTGGTGGAGCTCTCCAGACTACACCTTACCACTAGAATAATGTTTCAAGTACAACTCAACCACTATATCACTGTCCTGGGTGTAAATCTATTATATATATATATATATATATATATATATATATATATATAGTGTCTCGTGTTTATATTACTAAATTATAAAATCATTAACAAAATTCCATAACGTATATACATTTTATATAAATGAGTTACAACTTTTGACTTCATGCTTAATTTTTTTTAAAACATATTTTAGATGAGAATCAATTCCAAAATCTCTTTTATATATATGGTGTCTCATGTTTATGCATGTCATTAAACTATAAAATTATTGACAAAATTGCATATTTGAGATGTAATATGATGTATTTAATATTAATTATCCCGTATCAGCAATAAACCATACGATTCACTAACCTTTAACTAATATATACCCCCATCAAATTATATCCAATAAAATCAATCAAAAATCCCTTGAATTCATTTTTGTCCCACATCCTTGCTTTTGGTGGTTAAATCGGTCCCTTTTATATATTTCAAATCACTCATTCATTTCGGTCATGCACAACCCTAGCTCAACCAAGCCATGTCTATATATTCTCAATTTAAATTTAAAATTAACAAATTAGTAATAACAATATAAAAAATAAACACATGATATGTTGATTTAGGAAGAACCAAGGTAGGTTTTCTTAAACCGACCAACAATTCTCTAGTACATGTGTGTGTCTCAATAAATAAATAAATATTTGTATTTATATATACATTACTCAAGATTTGAGTATCATGATCCAAGCGTAGCACATCATATGCGGGTCAATGGGCTGCCTACCTAGCTATTTCAATTAATTCTCTCTCTCTCTCTCTCTCTCTCTCTCTCTCTCTCTCTCTATATATATATATATATATATATATATATATATATATATATATATATATACACTAGCATTTTGTACGCGCGATGCGCGAAAACTTATGCCCAATATTAAAATATTGTTAAGTAACAAAATTTAAAAAATTAGTTAAAATTATGTTTCACAATTCCTTAAAGTGATCCAAACAATATATATATATATATATATATATATATATATATATATATATATATATATATATATATTATAATAATTTACAAATAATACTAAGCTAACACCCACATATATGATATATTGATATGTATACACAAATAATATATATACATATTATTTATAATTAAAATTTAATATTCATATAAATATTTAATTAAAATATAATTTATAATTAAGTTAATTGTTATATGATAATTTTAATAAAATGATAACTAAAAATAGGAAAAAGATATGATAGATGTAGGTGTATGGTAAGATTGGTGGACATATTAAATACTAAAGGTGTTATAACGGTGTAAGGGTAATTTTGTCCAATACAAATCAAATGTACAACAATTAAAGCAAGATGTATATATTTATTAGCATATAAAAAAGGGACAAAAATCAAGGACATAACTTGTATTGACACTTATTATGTTTTTAGATATATATATATATATATATATATATATATATATATATATATATATATATATATATATATATATATATATATATATATAGACTCATGATCAAATGAGTCCACCCTTTCTCATGATATCGTGTGTACAGATCTGATCCATTAAAAGTTAAAGATCAATGATCTAAATTTTTCCTGCAACTACGCACTTCACTAAACAAAAAATAAAATATATATATCTATACCACTAATCTCTAACTTTTAATAAACAAGACCTGCCCACATAGACTCATGGGAAGGCAAATTATACCGTGGACCATGGTCCAAAACGGTGCCGTTTATTTTAATGAAAAGAAACGACACCTGTTCGGCATAAAGTAGCTCTGTTTGTATAACATATTCAGTTTCATTTCAACACAATTATAGTTTCATTTCAATATAACTATAGTTTCATTCGACATTATACACTCAAATATGTGAAACTGTTATTCAGTTTCATTTTATATACACTATAGTTTCATTACAACACAACTATAGTATCATTTCAATATAACTACACTTTCATTGGACAATATATACTTAAATATATGAAACTGTTATTTCAGTTTCATTTTATATATACTACATTTTCATTT